CGAGCCCCGCAGATCGGAACAGGTGCCCCGTGTCGGTCAAGTGTACTGCTATCCCCTCTAGGTGCAGGCTCAGTCTCCAGCTCGTTCTTAATCCTGTTTTAGGACACAGCCAGGAGAAAACCAAAGGGGAAAGAGACTCCCTTGCTTTCCCACAATGGAGACTTTTCTGCACTCCGTCTCAACGAGCCGGAAATTAATGCAAAGACCTCCCTCTCACTCTACCTTCTGGGTTAAGCTCTCCGGACCCAGACTTTTTAAAAACACGGACTAGCCCCCACATGCAGAAGACCTGGCCCATTCCGTGCACTGCCAACAGCTTCCAGAAGGGGAATCGGGAGAGGAGCTTATATTCCCGGCCGGTTAGGTTCAGAGAGGAGGAGGGTGGAAGATGTTTTACAAACACAGAAGAAGATGTGTTGGGGCTTTAAAGCCTCCTTCAGCCTTCATGCAGGGCCTCATTCGTAAAACAGAAAAGCCCACAAAGAAAAAGCAAAGGAAAAGCAACGAGGAAGGAATGGCCAGAGAGGAACCCACCAGTAAGAAGCATCGGGCTACGTGGCAGGGTGCCTCTCCCCCTGCACTGCGATCTCTGGGGCCAGAAGCAACCTTAACCACCTCGGAAACGGTCAGGTCAGGACGCTCTGTCAGTGACCACACAGAGGTGGGCCCCGACCAGCCACCCCGTTCTCAGAAGGCCTTTCCTTCTGGCATCTCACCCAGCGTTTCTCAGAGCTGGGTCCCTGGACCACCTGCCTCAGTGGCATTGCAGATGCAGGTTCCCAGGTCCCGCCCCCGAAAATCCCCGGGCTGGGCCCCGTGGAATCTGCATTTTCAACAAGCTCCTGGGTGAGTATCAAACACGCTCGGGCTTAAGCAACAGTACACGTGGGTCAGAGCACAAGTTCTGGACCCACGTGGATTCAAATCCCAGCTCCTTCGCTCGCTGTTAACGTCGCCTCTGGGTGCCTAGCTATCCTCACCTAAAATTTCCACTCTCCCCGGCTCTCCCATCTGAGCAGTTCTCACCCCCTGAGAAACTGATTTCGTGTCTGTCTCTCCCTCCCGAATGTCAGCCCCGCGAGGGCAGGGATTTCTGCCTTTTTGTTCACTGCCATATCCTTGGCTCTTAGACCAGGCTCTGCTCACAGAAGGTGCTCAAGAAATGCTTTTGAAAGACACAATCTGTAAAAGGGGGGCTCAGAGAACTTGATTCCAGGGGTTTCTGAGAAGATTCAATAAGACCAACACATCAGGGGCTTAGCGGGGTACCTGCCTCATGAAATGCCCAAGAAATACCTGCAGGATAAATGAAGGAAACAAGTTGGTCTGGAGAAGAATGTCCCTACTAAATAGATGATCTTGCCTTTCTCTCTCCCCTTCTCCCATGCTCCCGGCGCACCCTCTCCCCCGTGACAGCCCCTGAGGACGGGCTCTTGGAACTCGGATGAGCATACGGTTGGATTAGCCCCTGGAGCCAGCCAGCCAGCTCCATGGTGACCAGGCTCGTGGCCGTGTGCTTGGGGCAGCAGAGCCTTCCGTTTCTTCCCCCCCCCCCCCCCCCCCCGCCAGTCAGAGGGGCCCGGGAAACTCTCTCTCCCCCCTGCCAGGGCCAGCAGATGGAGGGTTTGGCAACGGGCAACGTCCGCTCAGTTCGGTTCAGTTCCACGAACGTGTCCTGAACACCTCAAAGCACTAGAGATGGGACCGTGAAGAGGAGGGAAGCCCCAGGCCGGGCCCTCCTGGGCTCACAGGAAGACTCTGCACATGTTCTCTTCATGTGATGGGGCTGTTTCCCAACACCCTCCTCTGAAATTGCAGAAAAGGTGCCAGCTTCCTTTGTGCAGTGCGCAACCTGTACAACCATTCCCAGCAGCCCTGCTTGTGGGCTCTCCCAAGGGTGTGAGCGGTGTTCCTGAAAGCAGTGTTGCCTCCTCTGTGCCCAGCTGAGACGCATCCGAGTTCCAGGGAGTCCAAGGCTGCTCTAAGAGGCATCTGACACGAAGTTTTGCTCCCTTTGTTGGGCACTTACTGTAGAGCAAGAACTGTGTCGAGTACCTGACGTGCACAGTGTGCTACTGTGAATAGTAGCTGCTATTATCATACCATCTGGGGCCAGTGACTTTGCCTTTCTGAGCCTCAGTTTCCCCTTCTGCAAAAGGGAGAGAACAGCGATGCCTGGCACCGGCAGCATCTAATTCTTTACTGATGTCACTTGGGGACGACGTCCGGCCAGCTCCCAAGCTCATGGGGCCACGAGGTGAGCCTCAGGCCCCTGTGTGGGTTTTCCCACCTGTCCCATCCCTTCAGGTCTGGGGTGGTGACAGTGCCTGCTGGCCTGGGGGCTGCGCCATTCCTTGGAGAGGTCCCTTGACGCTCCCCGCTCCCTATAAATGGGCCCTCGGGTGGAGCCTGCCATCTGTTTCCTGTGGCAGCCCCGCAGCCTTACGCCCCCCCACCTTCTTTGCTGTGGAATCCTCCTGATTAGCGACAGACTGTTTCAGGGGGAGGGGGCTCCTTCTGCCTGGGAACAGAGCCTCCAGGGCAAAAGCTCGGACCCTGTCTCCAACCCCACGCCCAGCACAGCGCTGATCGGCCACAAGCAGGCGGTAACTTTGCCCGAGGGAGAAGCATTCTGCCACCAACTCCACCTTGGTGAGCTCCTGGGCGTTGGCCAAATTATCCACCGCGATGGCTAAGAACACGTTCAGGAGGGTGTCTGCAGGCGCTGGAGTCAGGGAAAGCACCACCACTCGACCCCGGGTACCCGGGCCTCGAGGACCCTCCCTCGCCGCCCGGCTGCTCCGCCAGCCCCGCCCCCGCCCCGCCCCCGCCGGCCCCGCCCCGCGGAGGATACAGTTCCCGAAGAGCGTCAGCACGATGAAGTAGATGGAGAAGACCATGCCGCCCTGCACGCCCCCCTGAGACTTGATACCGTCATACATGACCTCGTTCCAGTCTTCGCCCGTCAGGATCTGAAAGGGGACGGAGAAACACACAGCCAACCCCTCTCAGCCACGGGCCCCCGCGGAGACGCCTTGGCTGCGGGTGGCTCTTGGGGCGTGGGAGGGGCCACCCCTGCCCTGAGGGGCTCTCGGCCTGGCTTCCAGGGAAAGGTGCGTCTGGGGGAGTCACAGCTCGTTCCGTAACTCTGTCCTGCCTCGTGTGACCAGGGGATTCACTACAGACGGGGCTGTGCCCCCCTAAATTCATAGGTTGAAGCTCTAAGATGTATATTTTTTAATGTTTGTTTTTGAGAGCGAAAGAGAGAGAAAGACAGAACGTGAGCAGGGGAGGGGCAGAGAGCGAGGGAGACACAGAATCCGAAGCGGGCTCCAGGCTCTGAGCTGTCAGCACAGAGCCCGACGCGGGGCTCGAACTCACAGACCGTGAGATCACCACCTGAGCCGAACTCCCCAGCTGTGAGATCAGGACCCGAGCGGAAGTCGGACACTTAGCCAACTGAGCC